AACTGAGCGTTGGAATGAGTAATATGTCTATACATGAGGGATGATCAAGAAAAATATTCATGTTATCTAGAAATTATAACTTCAATGGAATGATGGAGCAAATATACAGAGTTACTAGAATTAATCATGTAGAATATGTCATTAAGGTCTTATGTAATTATCTGATAAATAAAAAAGAATAATTGCTGTAGGGATCACTAATGATCAAGAAATAAGTAACATGATACACCTTGCAAAAAACCAAATCTCAATCGAGTTGTTCATTGAAAATATTCTAATATCTGGTATTGCCGAAGTTTCATATGCTCGTGGAGAGTTCTCTCGCTTGCTTGACTTAGAAAACAACTTGAGCGAATTCATTTCTTATCCAAGTGTCGTGCACTTAGAAAATGACTCGAGTGCAATGATATGGACTCAACCTTCCCATTGTGCAATGTCAGGTGATATGTTCCAAAACGCTTCGGGTCATGTTACGGATAATTCCTTAGTTTGTTCTATTATAGAAGAGGATGAGGATGCAGATGGTGATTATAAAGATGCTGAAGAGGAGGAACATCCTGATAGCATGCAGTGTGCAATTGAAGGAATCGATGAGGACACCCGTTAGACAGATGAATTTTGTGTAAACAACGATTATGTGGAGTCTGAAGAACCGTTGCCAGAGGAGATTCAAAATGAGAAGTGGATAAATACCACACAAGCTAAGTTCGTTGAGTTTGGTTCTCATTTTGAACGACCCGATGACTTCACTTTCAAAAAGGAGATCTATTCCAGAATAATAAAAAATTGGTTTTCACTATACGTGAATGGCCAATCAAGAATCAGGTCAAACTTCAAGCCAATAAAAACTAATACAACAAACTACCATGTAAAGTGCTACTTTAATGAGAAAGCTCAAGTAGAATATGCAAGTGCTCAAGATGAAAGAAATTCAAAGTGTCCATGGAAGCTTAGCGCAGCTGTTGGGAAAAAAATCTAATGGGTAATTTATGATCTCTAGTTATTGTAGACGTCATACGTGTTGCAATCCTACTATCAATATCAATCATAATGCAACAACTTCCTATTATATCTTGAAGCTAATGTGCCCAAAGTAAGGCGAGAACTTGATCTTACTCCAAGTCAGAGATTATATCATTTACAGAGGTAATGATTCTTAAGGCATACATGCATGAATAGGTTATATAAGTCATAATCTTTTTCTTTTATACTCCAATATTATTTTTCCATTGTTATACTCTAATATTATTTTTCATTGTTGTGTAGAAAGGACCAGAGCTAGTTATGGTTAATCATAGCCTCAGACATACAAGTCGGCCACTTGAAGATGAGCGTATGATGGCCTTGGTAGTCCAAGCAGGTTTTCTCACATGCTCGAGGCTACGGTGGATGAAACTTGATTGGGCACTACTTAATGAATTGATGGATAGATGGAGGCCAGAGACGAACACTTTTCATCTACATGTTAGTCAGTTAACTATTACTCTCCAAGACGTAGTAGTAATCCTTGGTCTCCGCATTGATGGTCCTAGTATTACAGGGACAGATAGACATGTGTGGTGCCGTGTTTGTTATTAGATTGAAGTGGCTTAAAGAAAATTTCTCACATTCGTTGCTAAAAGATGCATCTCAAGTCATGATCTAACACCATACTCGTGCATATATTTTGCACATGACCGGGACACTTCTATTTCATGATTCAAGTAAAGATAATGTACATGTGAGATAATGTAATTATTCCCAACATTTAACTATTTGTAGAAATTATTCATCTAAAATATATTTTTATGACATATGGAAATATTGATTGAATACAACTTATTATTCATATAATGCACTTTATTGGTTGTTTTTGCTAGATTATTACTCGTTATTCACATAATACAACTAAATGCATTTTTTATGTGATAAGTGGTTACCACTTCTCCGAAACTTTGACACATGAAGGACATTATCATAGGGTAGTGTTGTTTTAGCATACCTATATAAGGAATGTCAAAAGTTGCTTATAAGTAAAATAAAGAGCTCAAGGGGCAGTTAACATTATTATAAGTTTAGGCATGAGAGAGATTAGTTTTGAAACCAAGATTATGCGAGACGTGAGTTTTAGATAGACAGATTCCACCAGGCTGTAGGTAAATAATTTCGGATCTACTTAAAGCAAATTTGATTTTGAATTTTAATTATGACATAAATGCCCAACTAAACAATAGATATATTGACTAGCAATCCACTTAGGGGGTGTTTGTTTCAAATCCTATAATTTTAGGATATGAATTTCACCATGGGATTTGAAATCTATAGGTGTTTTGTTATGGGTTAGGATTTCTAAAATGTTGTTTGTTTCTCTAATATTTTGGGATTTGGAATACTACAATTTGTAATATTTTGTTTGTTTCAAGCTCAAATTGTAGCATTTGGGATTTGGAATACTACAATTTGTAATATTTTGTTTGTTTCAAGCTCAAATTGTAGCATTACCAAATGCTAAAATTTTGTAATTTGTAATATTTTGTTTGTTTCAAGCTCAAATTGTAGCATTACCAAATGCTAAAATTTTGTAATATGATTAATATGCTATCTTGGTGAGGTTACCTCCCACAAAATGATAAAATTTGGATTTGTCAAATCCTCTCCAATTGAGAGGTAAACACGCCCATTTATGAGATTTGTCAAAATCCTCTCCAATTGAGAGGATTTGACAAATTCTAAAAATTGGACATTTTTTGTACTTTTGTGATTCAATATTTTAAAAAAAAATTTAAAACAAACACCATATATGAAATCCCAAAATACAAAAAAACTCAATTTTTGATCCCAGAACGTGTAATCCATACCAAATGCCAAAATATTTGGTGAAACAAACACCCCTTAATCATTTTCGTTTTAAGCAAATGCCACTGCTTATGCATTGACCGACATATAATCCTTCTTACAACTCCGGAATTTTATGGACACAGTCCAATGGAGTGCCACTAAATAATTTTTTCTGGATTAAATTATGACTTCATGCAATGTTAGATAACTTTTATAACCAATCACGGAATGTAAATAGATCATCAGACCAACTCCGAGTAAACAAATTGAGTTTTACTGCAATAGGCTTGAAAAACATGGAGTCTAGCTGGTTATAAGATAATATTACATGTTTGTTCACAACTCCAACCTTTTGTTGTCATTCATCCTGAACTCAGCCAGCCGAGTCCGAATGAAAGGGGCCACTGTTATAGCCTATAAATAAGTAAGTGTTAATTTTCATTTGGAGACCGACATGTGTCCCGCTCCACTTCTAATGAGACGTATTTAGCAACGAACAACTTGAGCTACTTTTGCGGTCGACCCAATAGACGACAACTTGTATAGCTGACTAAAAAGGCGGTGTTTGTCAGCCTTTAGCTAGATGGCTAGAGAGGCAATGTGTCATTGAATCCCCTGCCGATAACCAACTACACTCACCTTAAATACGCTGTCAGAGTCATTATTGCCCTAGCCCCTATACTCTTTATGACTCGTCGGGCATAGTCAACACTAAGCACTTGCTGTCACCCTCACATTAAACATCTGGATAACTCACCTTCTTTAGCGTCCAAAACCTGTGAGGTGCCTGCCGATTTAGCTGTCTATTTGGATTCGGCCAAAGTTACATATCTGCCCTTCCAATCTACTATGAAAAAAAGTTGTGTAACCTAAGAACTTCTTTTGCTTTCATGTAACTTTGAACTTTTCATCACCACTTATTTCTTATTTTCCCATTGAAGTTCAAACGCGGACTTGATCATCGGAGGAACAACCGAGGACCCGATCGAACTCTGGCCTCTCACGAGCTTTTCATGTGCACGAGAGAACGTTAGGCTCCAAAACCGACCATCTGAAGGAGTTTGAGAACCTTAGCACCACCACAATCCACATACAAACGCCCTATTCAATAATTGACATCAACAGGAGCCATATAGGTATGGGCCCTCTATATTTTTATAATGACGCCACAAATGTATCTTATAGAATCTAACCTAACTTGATTATATAGATAATTATCTCTCTTTTAAAAAAGAAAAAACATGATTTGAGTTAGTTGTCATAGTGATCTTGAGGTATAGAAATAAAGAATTAATAATGGACTGGTGTTATCAACCACTCACAATCAATTAACACAAGCATGCTTCATTTTCATCTTCACATAGATTTGGATTACTTACATAAAACTAAGATAATGTGAAAGATTGCGTAATCGGTATACAAGATTTACTTAAACATTAAAGTTAATTATTCGCAAATTTACAACTAAAGCTTCATGACGTATAACCCATTCATAGTTTGTTAGCTCATCACCATTTTAGCTTTCTTAAAAAGAGGGGAAAAAAGTGCGGAATGATATTATAAAATTGTGATGAAGTTAGCCAAACAATGTAGTAAGAAACTAGTATAATAAATTCATAAACAATATCTTCCATGCGAATGACATACTAGAAGACAAGGGAGCTAATGAGTAATAATAGATCAACACTCGAACAATATCAAATTGATCTTCTTGATACAGTATCATACAGTGCACAATAGCAAAGATCACCTTCAATTCCACAGCAACACGAGCAATTTACAGCCCAATAAATCACAGAAAGAGCAAATTAAGATACCTATTCCAATCATTATATAAGTACTCTCTAAGAAAAAGAATATAACATAGTAACATAGAAATTCATATTTGGTGTGAGTTCACAAAAATTGCTTTCCTCCATACGTCCAAAAATTTGCAGATACTACTTCTAGGTACAAAAGAATAGCATTTATTCTCTCACCTAAATGAGAAAATCTTCCCATAAATGCGAGTATTCAACAATTTATGGTGTAACGTGTGGTTGAAATCTCTTAACATTTCTCCTTTTGATATAGGATATACTCAGATTCCCCCTTAATCCAGCGTATAAACAGGTATTTGCCACTTCTTCGTGTTCTTCTTTGGATCATCAGTGAGGCTAAGATCATTCTCATCTTCTTTATACGTCTTCACAAAAGTTGTTGCACCTGCCAAAATTAACCTTTCGACCATGAATAACTGGTAGTTGTTCTTGATCACAGGGTTCAGAATATCGCTGTAGTTTGAAGAGTGCACCACATTGTAACTGCAATGGATAAGTAAAAGAAAAAAAAAAAACCATTATCTTCCTCAGAAGGAAAATGTAAGATGGAAATCATGATTACATGCAAGTCACAGTCAATCCTGATAAAATCATTGATGCATTATTACTGAAGTATTATTTATGAAAAAAAGGTTTTGTTCCTTTGAAATTACAACGGTCTCCTTGGCCATCTTACTGCATAACTCTAGAGATGTTTGTTTTTGATGAACTGAAGATTCAACAAGAACATTTTGTACAAACATCTAGCTGCATAAATGGACTAAATTTCCATCAGTTGGAGTGATGATGAATCACTAAAACAGTTGAATATCATTATCAATGAGTCTGTAACACAGGTCATTGAAAGTAGAATTTCTGAAAGAGTAATGATAACTAGACTACACTTTCAAACTGCTCCCAAAATACTACAATCAAAGATTGTGGGGTCCTCGATGACTCATCAGCTTTTAAGGTCATCCACGTGGAAGGACCCTACACTTCTGTATGTAGTAGTGTAGTAGTAGTTTGGAGGAAGAACCCTGCTCTACCGTGTGTAGTAGTGCATGAGTAGTTAATAGTGTAGTATAATTAAAATTGTTCTTTCTGAAATGCCAAATAGCCTACTCATGAAAGAAAATTGCTTAGAAGAACAGAAAAAATGGTGATACTACCAGAACACTAAAGTTCCTTGAATTTCTTGACAGGGAATGAAGGGTATTACAGAGACAACTTTATTTCAATATATCATTATAAATAGTTCTGTAATGCAACGATTAGAAAGTAGAACTTCTTAAATGCCAAGTAGCCAACTGGCCCTACTCATGAAACAAAATTGTCATAAAACAAAAAATAGTGATACCAGATTAAGGAAGTTACTTCAGTTTGTTGACTCCGTCTCCTCCGAGTCTTCCTCCATTGGCTTGGTCTCCTCTGAGCCTTCGCTACGCTCAAAATCAGATACAGGGTTTGCATCGATTCCACAAGTCCCTCGCCTATCAAGATCAAGATCAACACTTCTATCAAGGATACCTGACTCGCTCTCAAATAAGGCGAATTCCTCTTCATTATTGAAGGCCCCAGTCATATAAGACTCAATGCTGGAGGAGTCTGATGCAATCATGATGACCTCAGAGGGTAAGGGCTCCACAGCGATAAAATTTTCAGCTGATTCATCATCACCCGAGGGATCAGTCTCGGACTCAGAAGAATCTAATGCAATGACCTTTACTATCTCGACATCGTAGGAGTCTGGCGTTGCATGGTCAGCCAAGATCTCTTCCGGGTCTGTATCATCAAAATAATATTCTCAGTTTTTTAGGTTGGCTCCCATGTACTATCTACTGACGCTGTGGAGCTAGAGTGGGTATTTAAGGAACTGATAGAATGTGTCCCCACCATCCTACAAAAGGGGGACCATCCATCAACACATTAAAAATAAAAAGGAGAAAATAAAATAAAACAAACAGGTGTTAAGAAAATGCTAGAAAAATTCTAAAATGAAATAAAAAAGCTAAACCCCCATATACTCATTACCTCAATTAAAACTGTTCACCAAATTCATTTTTATTTATTTGTTTCAAATACCAAGTTATGGAAATTTCTTGAATCACATTCAAAGTACTTCTTTCTTCAATAACATCTAAATAAAGCAATATTCATAATTATTTGAGATAGGATAAGAACCAAAATCGCTTGTCACGTCTTATATAAAATTAAATTAATTTAATATTTCATACGAATCAAAATCATGCTATTGGTTAGGCCATAACAGGAAAGCTCGAATTAAAATGCATGATAAATAATAGAAAAATTATTTTTCGAGCACAAGATCATTCAAATATATAATACTCATACAATTTATACCTATAAAAATACAGTGAGAAATGAACTCAACTTATATTGGCCGAGTTTCTCAAAATATTTTTTTTGCCGATGGCAAATGATTCAAACCCCACACATATTGTGTCTCATCATAGGGTAGTACCACTGGACTGTTTGGATCTCGAATGATGATGGATCTCGGATGATGATGAATAAATGTGTTGATGGATGGTCCTTTTGTAGGATGGCAGGAACACATTCTACCAGTTCCCCAGATACCTACTCTAGCTCCGCAACCTTAGTAGATAGTACCTGGGAGCCCAGCCTACAAAACTGGGAATATTATTCTGATGAGACAGACTCAGAAGAGATCTTGGCCGATCATGCAATGCCAGACTCCTATGATGTCAAGATAGTAGAGGTCATTGCACTAGATTCTTTTGAGTCCGATACTGATATCTCGGGTGATGATGAATTAGTTGTAGAGCTTATCACAATGGAGTCCTCACCCTCTGAGGTCATCATGATTGTACCAGACTCCACATTGAGTCTCATATGGCTGGGGCCTCCTATGATGAACATGAATTCGCCTTCTCTAAAAGCAAGTCAGGTAACCTTGATAGAGGTGTCGATCTTGATCTTGACAGATGAGGGGCTTGTGCAATCGATCGAAACCCTATGTCCGATACTGAGAGTAGGCAAGACTCAGAGGAGATCAAGCCAATGGAGAAAGACTCAGAGGAGACCAAGTCAACAGATGATGAGCCTAGCTCTGGCAGCTCCTTGTCCTAAGCGAGTCGAAGCTTAGTCAGTAGGACAATTTCGTACAACGGTATAGGGGTACTCTTAGTTGCTCTTTTGGTGCACATATATCACTTTTTGGTAGAAACGCATGTATATATGAGTACCCTATATACTCATATATGTGTATGCACTAAAAAGTTAAATATCAATGATATACTTCTGGCTTGTAAGTACTGGCTTGTGTTACATTGTTGAGTAATTTTTGAATTTGTAATTACTCGACTTGCATATATGTGACTACTTTAGTAATTTGTCTCTTGTATAACAGTTAAACATTTCATTATCTATAGGGAGAAATGATTACAGATAATTATCAAGCCCCCCCAACAAAGATAATGATCTTAATCAAACGATAAGCGAGATGATGAGATCTAGAGTTGCTTGTGTATCAGGAAACCCAATAGATAGCAACACACTGATGGAGTACCTGCAAGCAGTGTCATCGACGCGCACGCCCCAAGCGCCACGCGCTGCAACCTGGAGCAAATGCGCCCTGCACCAAAGGTGGGACGCTACAGGCACGTACCTTGTGTGCCCCTGGCGCCTTCACCGGGCACACCGATTTACTGCGCCCCAGTCTCTGGTGCGCAGTGAGTTGGGTTTTGTAAAAAGTAAATAAGTTTCAGGTTTGATACTTGCATATTCTATTAAACGGTTATGATTTTAGGGTTTCGACCCGATCTTCCCTCTCTCCTCTCTCACGCGGTTGCCCACTCTCTCTCCCCCCTGCTCACTTACTGATCCCGACGAGTCGGCTGACGACGATGACGCTACCGACCAACAACACCACTATTTTAAAAAGCTTTCATTTAGTTTGTCTAGGTGGTACCTTGGCCGCCTAATTAGCGCCTAATGCCTAGACGGTACCTAGCTTGTCCACTTAGATTTTGGGAATGTTTAAGGGAGCATTGTCTGTTGACGTCAACTACATCCTTTAGGCCTTGATCGTGATTTTCTATGTTACAATATTCACGCCCTCCAACCTCCTTTAAACTCGTTTAATCCAAGTATAAACACCACTACCTCCTCTGACCTTCAACAAAACTTTCTCGACTACCACTTAAATGAAAAAAGAAATCGGCCTAGACACCAGTCCGGCACTTAAAACTTTCTATAACATTAATATTTACTATAAATTATTATAATTAAAAAATAAAGAAAAAAATCTCCTAGATTCTCAGCGATGGGCCCAACACCTAGGCCTCTTAGCGGTTTTTTTAACCTTGTTAATTATTATTTTGACTATTTAGCATTTAAGTATGCATGATTTATTATGAATCTAGGATTGCTATCTATTTTTTTATAATTTTATATGAATTTAATATATATTTTTATCAATTATTATTAAAAAATAGTCAAACGCCTAGGCGCCACCTAGGCATACGCTTAAGCGTTCGTAGGCGCTGCTCAAACTCTAGTCCGCCCTAACGCCTTCTTATAATATGGAACAACCGTCGTTCCACCGCCGCGCCGCCGCGACCATTATCTCTGGCGAAATCAAGTTGTTTTTTCTTTTTTTTTCCATTGTTTTCGTTGTCTCCATTTATTTTTATTGTTTTCTTCTGCTTTTCTTTTTGAAAACAATTTACATAAATTTACATTATTTACATCATGCCAAATAGACTTCTTTCTTTTCATATTTGTATCACTTAATTATTACTAAAATACATATCTCATTATTAAATAGAATATATATATATATATTATTATAGAGAGAGAGAGAGAGTAAAACTTCCTATCCAACTTAAAGTGGATAGGAGGCCTTGTACCCAAAACTTTTTATCCATCCTCATCATTGTCTTAAGAATTTGTGTCATCACAAAGAGTGCACAAATCTTAAAAGATTCTTCATATCTATCAGGACCAATGCAATATCACGGTCTTAAAAAAATTGGTGGATGACTTAATTCCTATCCCGTTAAGTTGACATAAGCTTTTCCTATCATAGTATATATATATATATAATATATATATATATATATATATATATATATATATATATATATATATATATATTTATTGATACTTAAAAGGTTAGTGAGCATAGTTGGATGATTTAAGTTGATATTTTCGTAATTTTGGTTGTAGGTGACCAATAAACTTGAGTATGTCTTCATTAGCATCGGCGAGTGCGAATAGAGGTTAAAGACAAGATCCTACTTGGAAGTACACTTCTTTAGTTGAGGAAGGGAATTCCAACAAGCACAAGTGCATTTATCGTAACAAGATCGCGAATAGTGGCATATCAAGGCAAAAGGAGCAACAAGGGCGCATAAAAATATTTCCCTTTGTGAAAAAGTTCCTTCTAATGTGGTTGATGAGCTTAAGGATTATGGCAAAAGACAAGTCATTGTTAGAAGACAACAAGCCGTAGAAAATTACATGCTAGATCTTTAAGATGATGACATGATTGAAATTGATGAAGTTGATGAGGTTGAAGTCCAACAAAATCAAGCACGTTGGAACAAGGAAAAAGGTGTATTGCCTCCTACATCATCTTCCTTATCTACAAGAGGAAGGGTAAACATTGGCATGCATAGTGTGGGGTCTTCGACAAAGAGGAAGGGGCCTATGGATTCATTTCTCTCATTTGACCTGGCACTAGAGGTAGCCAACGATGATAGAAGGCGAAAATTGCGACAAACAAGTATTGAAAAAGGCCTTAACAAAGATGCAGTTGCTAAAGTGCATTAAGATATTGCACGTTGGTGGTATCAAGCAGGAATTCCTTTTAATGAAGTACGACTTAGATCCTTCAAGATTATGTTAAAGTCAGTAGGGGCTTTTGGGCCTGACTTGCCACCTCTAACATTCCATCAACTACGAGAGCCATTGCTTAAAAAGGAGATGAAGTACACTGAAGATCTTATGCAACCTTATAAGAAGATTTGGGCAAAAAAAGATGCTCCTTTATGTCGGATGGTTAGACTGACCAGAAGGATAGGACTTTGATAAATTTCTTGTGAACTCTCCTCACGGAACAATATTTATTTCCTCTATTGATGCTTCTGATGAGATCAAAACTGGTGCGAGGATGTTTGAGATCCTAAATGAGGAGGTTAAGAAGATAAGACCAGAGAATGTTGTGTAAATCGTTAAGGACAATCATGCTAGTCTCAAACTAGCCAGTATGAAATTTTAGATTTGATTTAATTTGTTTGATATTGATCGATATGCTGTCTAGTTTCTATGAAATTGAATGATTGAATCCTAATGAGATGTTTGCTTGTTAGTTATAGGAAAATACTTGATGGATGAATATCCTTGTACGTATTGGACACCGTGTGCTGCTCATTGTCTCAACCTCATGCTTAAAGATATCGAAAAACTACAATTCTTGAAGATGACCTTGAGCTGTGCAATGGAGTTGACGGGTTTCATTTATTCACATGGTTGGGTTTTGAGGTTGATGAGAGGTCAAACCAACACATGAGAGCTTCTTAGACCAGCAATGACGCAGTTTGTCACTTCATTTTTAACTTTATCAAGCATCCATAAGCAGAAAAATAATCTGAGAAAGATGTTTTGCTTGGAAAAGTGGGTGGAAAGAAAGTGGGCAAGAGATCCTAAGGATGACTAAACATTCTGTTATTTTGCCACTTGCTTGTTTTATTTCATAGACTTTTGCTTATGTTAGATATTATCTTGCATTAAGATTTGTGGAAACTTATGAAAACTTCGCTATGTGATGCATGCTTAAGACTCTTTCGTGATTTAGTATGCGAAATTATATTTCTTAGTCTTTTTTATGTGACAATTTATAAACATGTTGCT